GTAGTGAATTATTTGTCTTTCGTCAACGTGACACTTTTTTTGCTGATTGGCCGTGTCGGGTGGCGGAGGGTTACGACACATTTATAAATAACGCGATCTAACCCCCAAAAACCTTCATTATGAATAATATTGGTCGCGAAAGCCTCCCACGTGTTAACTAAGCTTATTTTGTCAATTTTTGGTGACTCGCGGCCACTCTCTGAAGGCCAGAATCTTTCATCCTGGTCTCGTTGAGTTCTCAACCTGGCTAAGATGACAGCCACTGAGAGTCTACACGACTGCCTGGGTGCTCGTCCTTAGTCACGCCCCATCAGACCTCGAAATTTGCATCCAGCTCCTGAACGCATTGCTTTCCAATCTCGCGCAAGAGTTGACGCTGGTGAATGATGCAGGGGCCGCCGTCGTGGCGAGATGTCAATTTGCCTCGCCTGGTTTACAGGAGATCGTGGGTTCGATCCCGCAGGCCCCGCGTATATTTGGAAGTTTGCAACTTCTCCCCGTGGTCGTGTGGATTTTTTCCTCCGGGTTTTTCCCTCCACGTTAAAAATATATATGCGTTTAGAGTATTTGCTGCGATACATTTCCACGTGATACAAACATTTCGTTGAGCTATCATTTGTGGCAAGGTCGCTTCTGAAAAGGAGCTGTGTATAGCTCAGTGGGACTTACCTGGTAAAATGAAAAACAAAATGTTTAGTTTGAGATTTTCACGACACGATTAATGAGGTGTGCTCTTCAAGGCTACGCTCTTTCGCGATAGCCGTGCCGAGTCCCTTTCTCCTTCGCGACGTTTCGCCTCCCACGTTGGAGGCCTCTTTAGGAGCCAGAGATGCATTCCAACAGGCTACCCAAAAACAAATCAAAAGCCGTCCAGAGCATTTCTCAGAACCTGGTTATTAAAACGAAGCAAACGCGTCGATCGCAACGGCGCCTCCCCGTCCTATCCGTCAGATGGCTGGTGGATCATCATCCTCATAACCCCCCACCCCGCTTTCCTGCTGTGTCTCTACCGACAGTGGTGACAGCAGAGGCCGGCGAATGTCCTCAGCCACCGCCCCTAGGCAAGCTGCACCAGGGGCTGCTCAAGAGACGCCGACTGCCCCGGAGGGCAGCGGTGCTGCCGGACCAGGTGCGGTCGCGCGTGCATGGCGCCGGCTCAAGGTGTATAAACTCAAAACGACAGATATATATTTATTTTGTATTTTATTTTACCAGGTGAGGCCCACTGAGCTATCTGAGCTAATTTTCAGTTGAGACCTGGGCCACAAATGATAGCTCAATGAAGTGTCTTATCACCACTTGGGAGAACACAAACTCCAAATATAGAGGTATCAGGGTGGAAATCGAATCCACGACCTCATGCACAGCAGGCGAGGACGTTAACATCTCGCCCCCCCCCCCCTCCCCCGCAGTGTGAAGGCCACTCACGCACTCACCCCACACTCTCTCACCACCACAGACTAAGATCAACACACCACCAACACCACCCCCTTGTATCGCCTTTAAGAGCACTTAATGCCAGGGCTCTCCATAGGGTGCCGTGGTACTCAGATGGTTAACTACCTCGTCTATTATACAGGACGTCGTGCGTTCGATTCTAACCCTGATGCCATGTATATTTGGAGTTTGCGTGTTCTCCCCGTGGATTTTTCTCGGGTTCTTCCTTCACATTGAGAATGAATATGCGTTTCGAGCATTTGGCTGCAATACATTTCCACACGATAAGCCACTTCGTGAGCTTTCATTTGTGGCCAGGTTACTTCTGAAAAAGTGTTACATCGCTTTCAACCCTGAACCATACCTTTAACACCTGTTTTATTGCCAGAAAGTTTAAAGCCTATTTTAGCATTCATAGTTTTGATACCGGCAAGAAATGTCCCATAGATAGTCAGAAGATTCTGATATTTCCTCCCTTCTGTAGTCGACGTCAGAGCCAAGCAGCCTGCCCATGGCATTATGGGTAAGCTGACCCCCCCCCCACCTCCGTGTATCCACCCCGTGCAGCTCCGAGGGCCCAAGTAATGGGACAGCGCCCGTGGCCCCCCTGCCTGTCGACCGTAACGGCACGGGACCCATCGTCTGCCCCAACCGCACGCTCAGGTATGTATGTAGAACTTCTTTCGCACCGTGGGTAAGCCAACCGTGCTGATCAGAGGTGCGGGAGACGGACGGCGAACAGATGAATCCCGTCGCTCGTGTCGGCCGTGAGTGGGGAATCGAACTCGGGTGTCACCACGCTAACCGCTGCACCGTTGCTCCCCGCTACGCGCAGCACAACCGCGGACACCTCGCTGGGGTGATCCGCATCATCATCATCGCCGGGACCGCCGCTGCACTCTCAAGCCCGGCAATCGACACGCCGCCACCGCCGGCCCCGCGAGGGCCTCATCACCGCTGCATCGACTTCCATTCCTTGAGACGAACATCGATCTCGACACAGTCTTTCCTCCGCACGCACACACACACATCCACACAAAGATAAAGACAAAGATCCCCCGTATAGCCTTGACAGACTGTAGGGGCAAGTGCTGTTAGCGAGCACCTATGAAGGCCGGAACGGTACACGAGGGGGTGGGTGGTCAGCACCACGCCCCGACCGCCTTTGTCTCCCTAGTGGCGATGTTTACACACCGCCACCAGGTACTAATTTGAGGGCTGAGTCGACCTAGGGGAGGCCCAGGACGGTTCAGATAATCGTCACTGGGTGTTGACCGTGAGCGGGAATCGAACCCGAGTCGCCAGGTTCATAGCGCAGCGTGCTAACTGCTACACTACCGCTCCCACACAAACATACACACACACACGCACATGCACACACATACACACACAAACACCGCTCCGCTTTCCCTGCAGCACGCTCGCCAATGTCGTCTTTTGAAGGGACTGCAATTCCCCTGTCCGCATTGATCGTGCAACGCAACACCGAGTATTGTGGGGGGGGGGGGGGGGGGGTTCTGCTCCATTCAGATGAGAAGCCACCCCATATCTCTGCCTGGCTCCGAGTGGCCCCAACGTCCTCTCCACGCCGAGATTCGCAAGCAATAAAGAGTCCAATCTTGATTTGAAGCTTTCGCGACTGCAGGAATCCATACTCTTTGGTTCTTTCGGTAAAGTCACTCGTGCGTCAGCAGTTCTCCTGCTGTGTTTGTCTCACCTGATGACGGTTGCTCGTGTTGCGATCGAAACGTCGTGACCTATTAATGATCTACGTGACTTTGTACCGAAAGAACCGACGGCTATGAACAAAGAGTCCCGTTGCCGTTTCGCAGAGGCGGCCGCGCGTCGGACCACCTCCTCGACCGGTTTCCTCGACGGAACCGCGCGTTCGCAGCGCTGCGTCCTCCCGAAGCCCAACGTTCAGAGGGCCCCTTGCGCGTTCGGAGTGACGCCCGGGGCGAGGAGGCTGCACGCATCCCCCACACCTCTTCCGATTAGCGCGGTTGGACACGCACGGGGAATGTACATTGAACTACTTCCTTTGCACCGTACGTATCCAACCGCGCTAAATCGGAGGTGCGGCATGCGACAGTCTCCGAACCTGGACGCGGCGTACATAGGTGCGGGATGTATTAAAAGTCAAACGTGCCGATCGGAGAACCCTTCCTGCTCACGGAGCATACGATTCACGGACCACGCTCACCGAATGTGAGAACCGTCATTTTACAGCTTTTGGTGAGCGGCAGAAAGATATTAAAGTAATTAACAGTTCTAAAACGCCGCCGACGCTGCAGCAGTGTTCGCTCCTTTGCTGTCGTCGAGAGCACGAGAACGACTCGAGAGGAACGAGAGACAAGGGGGTGGGTGGGGCGGGGGGAAGGCAGCCACACTGAGCCGGAGCTAACGATTGTCCAAGTTCTGAGGTCCCCTATATATATATTAAAAGGTGTTATCGGCCAATTATTGAGTGTTTACGTGTAGGAAGAGAACCGGAACACCAGGCAGAGAACCCACTCGTGCAAGGGGGGGGGGGGGGTAAACGCCATTCCATCAGTGCCGGATTAAACTAGCGCGGGGCCTGTAGTATGTTCTAAAGGGGCCCTACATAAAAAAACACGATATTAAAACACACAAATTTTTTACTTGCTATACGGCCAGATAACATGAGAAATCGCTAACCTTAAACACCAAGTCGTTCATAAAAGTTGAAGGTGGTATGGTACTATAGTAAGAGCAAGTGCAGAATCGCTGAACCGGAATTGATAGCTTGAAAGCATTTAGCGCGGGTCCCTTGAAAGTGCGGGGCCCGTAGCTTATGTTAGCTACTTTTTACTACTAGGATAATCCGGCACTGCATCCCGTACAGGTGGAGTCCACATGTTCACTGTGCCGCCTTCTTCCCTGGCCCACGGGAAGCGAGTCTCATCGCAACGTCGGCGCGAACCACCAACCCTCGCTGCTGCCTCCACAGTGCCGGATTACAGGCGTGCCCCCGGATGAACGCCTTCCCATGCTGTATTGGTAGTGGCGTTTGTGTGACCATACTTCCCCATGCCAATGTGGTTAAATGGGAGTCTGGGTACCCAGTACTGGTTAGCCAACTTTGGTTATCGAACTCGGGTAGCTGGGTCTCGGAGTGAAATGCGCTAACCACTGCACCGTTCTCTGTTAAACACCGACTTGAAACGGAATTGGCCAAACGGCACAATACAGGACTCCTCATGGAAGCTGGTCTCTGGGCGTAAAGTTCAAAGTGCAGTGCGCGAACCGCTGGGCCACAGCTCCCCACAGAGCGTTAAAACCCAAATAATGTAATTTGTTTGTCCACGAAAGCCTCACCGAGGCACAAAACCCTTCTACTTGAGGGCCCTGCTATGTTGGGACGTTTGGCTAATTAAATAAACGAGTGCTTGACAAACGCCCAATGGGAGTTTTCTTATTCACGGCCTCCACCCATCACTGCCCCAATTACCCCAGCCACTTGAAGCCGAGACCTGTCGCTTGATATTCCACGCGCATTCAACATCGCAGGCACGCCCCAGAGGATACACTTGCCGAGGAGACAATTTACACAGATCTGCATTTAATAACAATCAGGCACGGACATGAATATGAACGTACACACACACACATCGCCCAAACTCCAGTATTTAAACACTTTACAAGGCGTATGGCAAACTGCGAAGGTTTTCAACAAAGCACATCGAGTCGAATTGCCAGAGCGGCTCCACTCTCTCCCCGCGCGTCAACGTCCGTCTGTCCGCACACGGACGCGCACACACACATTGGGAACTTGTGCGCGTCGCGAGCAGGCACGCTTCACGCGGCTAAATCAACAAACGCCGCAAACACCACCACCACCATATTCTACCAGCAAACATCAGCCGCCACACCAAGCGACGTCACACCCCCGCAGGATCAAAGCCCGGGTGATCGATCACACCCAAACCGGCGAGGCTCGGCTAGGGGGGGGGGAAACGCGCGGACCTGCCTGGGGCTCGCCAAAGCGGATCTGTGTCTGGATACCTGGGGCCACGTGTGTGTGCGCGCGTGTGTGCGCACAAAGGTAAACAAATAATTCTGGCTGCGGGCGCTCCCTGTGGAATGTCTCACGGCCGCCGGGTTTCCCCGACGCCCGTTTGCGCCACTCGCGGTGTGGCGCAACTACATCTTGGTCACGTACAAATATTTGGCCACGGCTTGGAGATGTGTGGGAGGGAAGGGGGGTTAGGGGCTAAAACGTCGCTGTCAACAGGGAAGTCGCTTAAACCCGCTAGGGGCCACCGTGGGTTGACTTTGTCGTAGCCACAAATCAGCTACCCCCGTAATTAGAGGCCGGTTCATTTAAAAAAAAACCACACGAGCGCCGCGTTGTAATAAAACACGTGTACGTGCGCATGCAATCTGGGGGTGCCGCCCGAGAAAGGCTCGACCTTTCGTCCTCGCCGTGAAGCTGCCGCGAAGCGGCGACAAGCGGAGCGCGAGCGTGCGGGATGTCGATCCCTCCTCGACTCCACTTTTGATGGCGGGGCGGGGGCTGCGTTGGGAACCTCTCGTTATCGACAGTCGCATCTCGCAAGGCGTCACCAACATCGGCAGTGGCAGCGGCAGCAGCCGAATACGGAAACGTTAAGGGAGAAAGAAATTACGCAAACCGTCAGCAAATGTGACAAAGGTGTGGTCTTGATTCTACGACGTTGTCGAGGAGTTGTAATTCAAAGCCTGGACTCGCTTTGACGATCGAGAAAATCGGGGGGGGGGGAGGGGGCTTAATTTTTCAGCCGGTTTTGTCTGGTGACCGGTGGAAAATATTTGGGCGCCCAGCATCGCATCAGGTGCACGACCCCTGCCGAGTCTGCCACGTGACGCGGGAACAACCATGCGCTGACACAACATCTTGAAACGAGTCATCTCGTGCGGCCCCCCTCTTGTTATTATTACCACCGCACAGAAAAATCTACAAATATGCACTCCCCGACCAAGGGCAGAGGCGGCCTGCACGGAGATCGACGGCCGATTAAGGCCTCCACCTCCTCGCGGCGTCGCCGTAATGTCTCAACCCACCACCGAGAGGCGTTGGGGACGACTCACGCTCGGCGTCGGGAGAGACGCAGCTGTAAATTACACGTTTAAACAAACACACACACAAGATATATACGAATCCAAACTGTATCGATACTCCATGGGCATTTTTCTCCACACCGCCAAGTTCACCTCTCGCGGCCGGCCAAGGCGGCGCTCTCGCCAGTGACTACGACACGGAGGGAGCAGAAGGCCTCGGGGTAGAGGCGGAATTTTGGAATCGTGGAAGGGACGGAGGGGTGGGAGGGTTAAGGGGCAGGGGGGGTTTCCGATCTGCCACAGCGTAAATGTTCTGTTTTCTGCAACGGTTATATCGGAGAACGGACACCAAATAGGAGCAGCTCTAAACCAGGGCCCAATATTGTCCAACTCCAGCTGCGTTAAAATCGGGGCCAATTTTCAGCCGGATCTGTCCAGGTCACCGCCGACCTGGACAATGATTTTATCCGCAGGTCAGCCGCAGCCATGGTGGCTACCATTGGTCACGTGCCTTCTTAACTCCAGCCTCTACGAGCGACGGGGAAAATATTCAGTGAGAAACGACGCCCCGATAAGCAACTGTAAATCCTCCCGGCTGCATGAACGTGGCCTGGCTCGGTGGGGTCGCGACCCACGTAAATAAATATTTATTTAGAGCGTGCAGGACGATGTGTGATGCTTTTTTTCCCCCCCTCTCTTTTTTTTTTCTCTGGAGTTGGAGTGTCCCCGAGCCTCCTCCTGCAACGCCGGGCAGCTTCTCCCCACGCCTTCATCCCAGAGTCGCCGGCTCAAAAAACCGCAGAACGGACCCACCGTTGCGTGTTCGTACCCAGCGGGAACATTCGGGGGGGGGAAAAAAAAGCTCCGCCGAGTACCTGCAGGCCTTTATCGCTGTGTGTTTTACACAAACTCACACCCCCCCCCCCGTTACCCTCTGACCAGTTTCTCCAAGCTAAGACCACACACACTGCCACCCCCCACCCACCCTACCAGCCCCCCACCCCCTCCCCCCACACACACCACACCGCGCGGAAGGCACATCGGTGGATTAATTTACTTTTTTGGCAGATTCCGACGGCAACTCGCTCCCCCCACCACCACCACCTCCTCAAGTAGCAATCCTACAGTCAAACGGCAACGCGTCTCGAGCACGCCCCTCGTCGTGCCCTCGCCAATTTCCTTTCGTCAATTACGGTAATACTTTAGAGAGTGACTGCGGAGAGACGCGACAAACCTCGCGCTTTGCGTTCCTCTGCGCTCCCCGTCGCGCCGGCGGAGGCTTCGCTAACGAGACAAAGAGAACTTCAGCCGGCATCGGCTACCCGCGCGCGATGGTCGCAGAGGTCGGCGACGCCGCAGAGGTCGGCGGACGCCGCAGAGGTCGGCGAGGCCGCGGGGGGAGACGGCGGTGCGGTCGCACCGCCGCGGCGGCGACGTCGCACCGCGAGCGGTCACTCGGAGGTCTCTTTGGTCTCTTTTGACGAAACTTCCGGCTCGGTGTGGAGGACGCGCACGGATTGGGGGGGGGGGGGGGTGGTGGGGTCACGCGCCCACGACATGAGAGGCCGCGTCGTTTTCCGAAGCAGTGGTCTCCTTTAAACGACGCCACCGCCGATGGCGACGGCACCACGCCGACACCCCCCACCCCCACCCCCACCCCCCCCCCCCCCCGCGCTCCGCTGCTGCAGCGCCCGCCATGGCGGCGGTCGCGGCGCCAGCTCACCCTCGAGAGACGGCGAGCGGCGGTCAAACCGCGGTGGCGGAGGGGCGGCACGGGCGAGGGGGGGGGTGCGGGCGGGAGAGAGGGAGCGGAGTGTGCCGCCACCAACCACCGCCCCGGCAAACCCCTCTCCTCCGTGAACACCCGCGGTGCCGGTGCGGCGGATTCACCGCGACTCCCCCCGCCACCGCGACCAGCCGCCACCGCACGGATGGGGGTGGGGGGGGGGGGGGTGGGAGGGTGGGGGGTGGTGGAGGGGCGGGGGGCGGCCGCCGCCATCAGCAGCGCACTTGCTCTTGCCGGCGTCTTGGACCACCGCGACCTTGCCGCCGGCCCCGCCGTTGGCGGCCCGAGCCGGCGGTGCCGGGCGGGATCCAGGACTTGTCGACGGAGCGCTCCATGCGCTTCATGATGAGGTCGAGCAGAGGCATCCCACCGCCTTCGACACGTTCGTGCCCGTCGCCGCGCTCGTCTCGAAGTACGGCATTCTGTGCCAGGGCCCGGGAGAAGGAGGGGGGGGGGGGGTGAGGGGTCACGGGGGGGGGTCACGGGACACTCGGGGCTATGGCTGTGGTGGCTACTACCGTTTTTCTGGTCTCCTACTCCGAGCTACTAGCGAGCCGAGGAATCTTCGGCGAGACATCGAGCCCCGATATCAACGAATAATCGTTGAAGGTGAAGTGTTCAAGAATGGCAGTGGCTGACGGTGGCGCTGGAGGGGGCAGGGGGTTCGTAGGGTAATGGGTAGCAAGGTTACGCTGATGGACGGTGCTGACATTTTACAGTTCAGGGTCGGGGCTACCTGACCCCGAGATGGGTTGGGCAGCGTGCATGTGGGGGGCTTTACAGCGGTCTAGAACACCCAGAATAAAGCGCGGCACGATGGCCATCGGTGACTAAAATAAACTATGCACGCGCGTGTGTGCGTCTGCTGCGTGCGTCTGCGTGCGTGTGCGTGCGTGCGTACTCGTGCGTGCGGGCAAAGTCCTCCGCCTGCTTGTGCGGAACCACGCGGCGATCCTCCAGGTCCGACTTGTTGCCGCACAGTACGATGTCTGGCTTATCGCAGTACGCGTGCATCTGCAGTTGGGCTGATTGACACAACGGAGAGACGGGGGGGGTGGGGGGGAGCGCAAACACATGTTCGTGAGGCCACGGTCACTCGTTACGCTCAAGCCTCACTTATCCAAGGGTGGATTAATCCGGGATAAAATGAAATACATTTTACTACTAGCTTGTCGAAGGTCGGTGAGTCAGTGCTTGGGTGACCACGATCACTCCACAAAAAGCCAGACCTGAGAAGCAACAAGTAAAAAATAGATGACACATTCTGCGTCTTCGTCCCCGTTCTGCGTGGGTAAACGACAAATCTGCTTGTGTAACCTAATTTACAGGTGCTCTGCCTTGATCGTTGTTGTGTTTTATGTGGGCCACCCTTCTCCTGCCCCTCATTACCCTGGGTAGCGTAGAACTGACTGGCATAGGAAGTCATGCGGTGTGCATCACTGCCCGGCCAGCGGTGCTACTTGACAAACATTTTATCCACAATTCCTAGAACCCAGGTCACATCGAATTAAAATTTCCTCCACTCTTTCAAGGAATATAAAGCAATTGGAACATAGCGTGCTTGCAATTGGAACATACAGTGAGGGAAAAAAGTATTTGATCCCCTGCTGATTTTGTACGTTTGCCCACTGACAAAGAAATTATCAGTCTATAATTTTAATGGTAGGTTTTTTGAACAGTGAGAGACAGAATAACAACAAAAAAAACCAGAAAAACGCATGTCAAAAATGTTATAAATTGATTTGCATTTTAATGAGGGAAATAAGTATTTGACCCCTCTGCAAAACATGACTTAGTACTTGGTGGCAAAACCCTTGTTGGCAATCACAGAGGTCAGACGTTTCTTGTAGTTGGCCACCAGGTTTGCACACATCTCAGGAGGGATTTTGTCCCACTCCTCTTTGTTGATCTTCTCCAAGTCATTAAGGTTTCGAGGCTGACGCTTGGCAACTCGAACCTTCAGCTCCCTCCACAGATTTTCTATGGGATTAAGCTCTGGAGACTGGCTAGGCCACTCTAGGACCTTCTTCTTGAGCCACTCCTTTGTTGCCTTGGCCGTGTGTTTTGGGTCATTGTCATGTTGGAATACCCATCCACGACCCATTTCAATGGCCTGGCTGAGGGAAGGAGGTTCTCACCCAAGATTTGACGGTACATGGCCCCGTCCATCGTCCCTTTTTATGCGGTGAAGTTTTCCTGTCCCCTTAGCAGAAAAACACCCCAAAAGCATAATGTTTCCACCTCCATGTTTGACGGTAGGGATGGTGTTCTTGGGGTCATAGGCAGCATTCCTCCTCCTCCAAACATGGCGAGTTGAGTTGATGCCAAAGAGTTCCCTTTTGGTCTCATCTGACCACAACACTTTCACCCAGTTGTCCTCTGAATCATTCAGATGTCCATTGGCAAACTTCAGACGGGCATGTATATGTGCTTTCTTGGGGGACCTTGCGGTGCTGCAGGATTTCAGTCCTTCACGGCGTAGTGTGTTACCAATTGTTTTCTTGGTGACTATGGTCCCAGCTGCATTGAGATCATTGACAAGATCCTCCCGTGTAGTTCTGGGCTGATTCCTCACCGTTCTCATGATCATTGCAACTCCACGAGGTGAGATCTTGCATGGAGCCCCAGGCCGAGGGAGATTGACAGTTCTTTTGTGTTTCTTACATTTGCGAATAATCGCACCAAGTGTTGTCACCTTCTCACCAAGCTGCTTGGCAATGGTCTTGTATCCCATTCCAGGCTTGAGTAGGTCTACAATCTTGTCCCTGACATCCCTGGAGAGCTCTTTGGTCTGGCCATGGTGGAGAGTTTGAATCTGATTGATTGGTTGCTTCTGTGGACAGGTGTCTTTTATACAGGTAACAAGCTGAGATTAGGATCACTCCCTTTAAGAGTGTGCTCCTAATCTCAGCTCGTTACCTGTATAAAAGACACCTGGGAGCCAGAAATCTTTCTGATTGAGAGGGGGTCAAATACTTATTTCCCTCACTAAAATGCAAATCAATTTATAACATTTTGACATGCGTTTTTTCTGGATTTTTTTTGTTGTTATTCTGTCTCTCACTGTTCAAATAAACCTACCATTAAAATTATAGACTGATCATTTCGTTGTCAGTGGGCAAACGTACAAAATCAGCAGGGGATCAAATACTTTTTTCCCTCACTGTAGCGTGCCGGCCATGGGCTTTGGTGCAAGGATTAATGTTTTATTTAGCATGTGGCATAGGAAGGAAAGAAATTGCATCGATGACCAACCCCCCCTCCTCCTCTGATCCCCCCTCTATCTTTGCAGCCGGGTGGCCTGGGCCCCTCCGTCGCCATCGCCTCCCAGTGCAGTTGCACCGCCTGTACACTCGACAGCCACGCCACGGAGCTTCTTATTCAAGAGGTACACCCACGTGGGCCGTGAGTCACACGAGTTTTATTTGAGGAGGGTTTGCACCGATGATGTTGGGTCAAATTTACAAATAATTAATGCGATTTAATCACCCAGGAAAGCCTTCGCCGAATCTCAAAATGATTTTCCAGGAGGATCCCCCCTACAAACTTGATTTGAAGCGTTCGTGACTGCAGGAATTACTCTTGGTTCTCTTGGTAAGGTCACGTAGAAAGAAAATAAATTACGTAATAGAATACGACGTTTCGATTGCAACACAAGCAATCGTCATCAGGTAGACCTAAATTTGAGAGAGAGACAAAACACAGGCACGGAGACACACAGACAGACACACAAGCAGAGAGAGACAACACAGAGACACAGAGAGAGACACACAACATAGACACTCTGTGTCATAGACGCTGTGTCAGACACACAAGCAGAGAGAGACAACACAGAGGCACACAAAGAGAGAACACAACATAGACACACAGAGACCCAATGCCTCTGTGTCGTGGCCTTAAATAGAGAGAGGGGGGGGGGGGCCTAGAAAAAGGTGGGTGTGCTGGAGCAGAGAAATTAGCATGTAAATGAGAGAGCTGTGTGGACATCCACCCCCGAAGCGGCCGGGGTAGAGAAAGAGTGAATGGCCCTATGAGAGACTGTAAATTTCAGAGAGAGAAATAGCAGTTTGAGAAAACAAACTGAGCAATTTTTGAAAATGTGATGCAAATGCAATGCAGAGAGTCGGCTAACACACAGTTAACGCATAGCCTGGTTGACTACATTCTCCAAAGATGGCTAAATTAGGGCTGTCTCTCTCTGCTTGTGTGTCTGTCTGTGTGTCTCCGTGTCTGTGTTTTGTCTCTCTCTCTCAAATTTAGTTCTACCTGATGACGACTGCTTGTGTTGCAATCGAAACGTCGTAACTCTATTACTTAATTTATTTTCTTCTACGTGACTTTACCGAAAGAACCAAAGAGTAGATCCTGCTACACTCTGGGATGTTTGGTCGATTCAAGCGGGAGGGAACCGGAGTGCCCGCAAGAAAACCCACCGCACGTACGAGGGGGATAGCCCCGAAATCTCTACACAGACACGTTTGCCCTTGAAGGCCACTTGTTCTGCCATAACCTGGCCACAAACACGCAACTCAGTGGGAGGCTTTGTGAGCTTTGCAAATCTGTGTAATCTACAAACCCCTCGCCTCTAAAGCGGCGGATTAAAAAAAAGGTGTGCGCCACCACGGGCCGGCTATGAAAGAAAGATCGGAGTTGTGAGTGTTTGCGGGCCGGTGGATGCCGGTGTGCCGCGATGGCGGTGCCGCCGACTCCACTCATCCAGTTGCGCACGTTGAGGAAGCTCTGCTCGCTCGTCAGGTCGAACATGAGCAGGAAGCCCATGGCGTCGCGGAAGAACGCAGTCGTCAGGCTCCGGAACCTGCGCGCGGTGAGGACATCGGCTCAGCTGGGTCGCCGCATCGCGGCTCGCGACGACTTCCCGGTCACGACGGGTTCCCCACTGACTTAGGCCTAACCTGGTCGCGCCTAGATTCCTTGCCTGGGGAGGCGTGGGGATCCGGGCAGTGAAACCAGTGCGAGGGAGGGCTGGTCCCTGGGGGAACACTAGACCTCAACTTCTCTTATATTTAATACGAAGTTATTCATTACAAACGAGACGTCGCAAGCTCTGCGCGGCCCTCCTGACGATATCATTGTGTGCGACGTCATCTAATTAAAATCTAATTTACACACTTTGACGTTGTATTGTTGTACCCCCACTTAGAAGTCGGTTAATTTATTTTTACATTTTTCAACTTCTACACCGTCACGGCTTGTTGCTGTACCATATACATGAGTAGTGGTTCGAGAGCCGTTACATTTGCTCAGCAACTCTACCCGATGTATTCTTAAATCCCAAAACTCGACATTCGATCCCCAAGAGAGGCGAAAAACCCGCCCATTCCAAAATTACCGACACCGATAGATTGTTGCGTCGGAGGACCTGGGAGAAAACCCATGCATGCGAAGGAGAAACACCATCACATGGATGGACCAGGTGGAGTCAGTATTTTGCTGTAACCACCCTCCTGGCGAGCCAGGGTATATGGCACAATTCATGCGATCCAACCAACCCTCGCTGCCACCTCCACTCAGTGCTGGAATACAGATGTACGTCGCCGCAATGGTCCGGCGGTCGTGGCTACGCATGCCTCTAATGATAATGACGACAATAATGACGTTGATGACGCTTGGTGGTGACGCTCGCGTTTGCACTGTACCTCTCTTGCCCCGCCGTGTCCCACAGCTGCAGGTGAACCCTCTGTCCCCGGCCGGGTGATGCCATCGGCGTTTTTCGGAGCGGTAGACCTTGCGATTGGCATGGGGAAGCGAGAGAGGGCAGAGCGGGGGAGGTCACGGGGCGAGCGTCTCTACCCTACACCCCCCGACATGCGTGGCTTAAAAAACTCACGAACCTTGTGAACGCCCGCTCGTAGGGCGATGCGCGATCGGAACTTGAGAATGACATTGTTGGAAAGACTGCTAATTGTAATAGAGCAAATGCAAGTGTACTTCTAGCTGCTATAATAAATATTATTAAATGCCATATGCCAGTTCCTCTGATGAGTGTCATGCATAATGTGGTTATATTGGATTGCTCATTAGATTGCCATTATAAATAATTGAAGTCGGTTATCGGAGCTTGATCACCCGAATGTGAAATTGCCAGTTGTTGCTCTGCATCTCCATCAGCCGCCGCACGAAAAGAAAGAAAAGTGTATTATGACTATTGATTGACGAGTCGGTTGTTGATTGAAAATTGCCCGTTTTTTTCTCCTACCCAGCAGCCCCTGTAAAAACAACCCCTTTCCCATGCAGCGTTCTTGCGACCGTATCGTCCGGGGTCTCACATCGGGGGAAGGAAAAAATAAAGCAAAGCGGCTAATCTCGACAGGGCCCTACCCGAGATTAACCCGACTGAAACCGAGCCGACTGGTCACGGCGGCGTGGCGGTGAAGTATGGCCAAGCAACCTCCGGGCGGGGGTTCGCAGCAACTCACGACGCGCTTCTCCCGGAAGTCGATGCCCACGGTGGTGACGAACTTGCTGTTGAACTTGCCGTCCGTGTAGTTGTAGAGGAGGCTCGTCTTGCCCACGCCCGAGTCGCCGAGCGCCAGCAGCTTGATGAGGAAGTCGTAGTCGCTGTCCGACATGGCTCGGGAGGCAGCCCTGCAGCAGCAAGAGTAGCAACAGGGAAGGTGCCGGTCAGCAGGCCCGCAAGCTCGTAGCCGAGCGGGCGACAGAGGCTATTGTAGAGGGCTCGTTCGAATTACGTTATAGGAGGTATGTTTGCACCCCCCTCCCCCCTCCCAGCCCTCCTCGCCCCCCTCACCGGAATGCCAGACCAGAAAACCACAAAGCAAAGACCCCCCCCCCCCCCCTCTCTTCAGACTGTTCAGGCCAAGTGCTGTATAGCGAGAAACTATTAAGGCCAACTGTTGCGAAAATTAAAAACAACCATAACGAAAAAGGAGCGAGGTCGAGGGACGGACCAGAGACAGCAAGGCAGGGAAAGGCAGGCAGGGCGGGGTGGGGGCTGCTCTCCGTAACCAGTCTATTGCACCAGGCCTGGTGCGCTGGCGCTGGCGCCGGCGGCGGCGTGCCGTGCACAGCAGGTGGCACAAGTCACAATCCTCGTCAACGGCGGCTCGGGGCCGATTAAGTTAGCGACGGCCAGGAACCCCGTCCCGGCGCACGTCCCGATGCAATTAACCGACGGTCGGCCACCGACGCCGTGCAAACCCAGCAGCCTGCGCGATACCCCAGCAGTGACACCGCGCACCGCCCGGGCGGCGGTTCCAGCGGTCCCGCCCGTGCCAACAAGCTCGTGCCCGCACAGGCCGGACGACGGTGAACAGGAGGGGGCTTCGTGGCTCGTCCGGGCTCTACCAGATTAAAAACTAAATATTTCATCGTCTTATGTCCGAAGTCCCCCCCCCTCCTCCCCCGCCGGCCGGTGCTGCTGCCGTGCAAGGGTTCTGGTGAAGGCCGACCGGCGTGTGATTGTTGCTCGTTACAAAGTTGCACCTCGGATTTGCCAAACAAAACCAACGAAACAGAACTTCTGTATTTTTTTTACCAGGTACGGCGCCCACCGAGCTGTACAACTCTCTCTCGGAAGCGACCTGGCTGTCACAAGTGATAGCTCAACGAAGCGGCTTGTTATCGCGTGGGAATTTATAGAACCAAATGCTCTCAACGCAAAAGAGTATCCGTTTGTAGAGCAGTTTCACCACCCCACGTGTTCGACAACGGCCCGCAGAAGGAGTATACTATAGAACTCATTTCGAGATCCTCCTCAAGTGAACTCTTGTCCACAACAGAAGGCAGCAAACTCTGGCATCCACCCAGCTACAGAGTAATGGCTGTTGCCTCCTTGACCCGAATAGATCACAAGATTGTGTAGAGGAATATAAAGATCATGGTTCATAGGCAAGGCACATTTTTACCCCCGTCTCACAACCTTCAGTCATTCCCCCGCTCACTCACTCCCTCGCTCCCTTTCCCACTCACTCATTTCCCCTCCCTCCCTCACTCCTGCCTTTGCTTGCTCCCTTACTCACTCATTCCCTCCCTCCGTTGCTCAGTCACCCACCCCCCCCCCCAGCTTGCTCGCTCGCTCACTCTCTCCCACCCACACGCTCCCTTCTCTCCCTCGCTCGCGGGAAGTGGAGGAGGATCAAAGGTTGACATGACAAACACTACCCAACATGCGCCGCACGTAACCGTGCGATCGTAACCTCTCCCGATGTAATCACCGGAGCGCGCCAATGACCAAGTGAGTATGGTTTTACCGCCTTTACCAAGCTCTCGCCCCGAAAGCAAACACCGCAATCGCATTATTATCATTCGAACGTCTGAATGCGTCTCGCCTTTTAGAGAGGGGGGGGGACGGCACTCTGCTGTTTGTACCGTGGGATCAATTTGCCCGTAGAAGCTACACAAGCGGCTTCAGTGGGCAGTGCCCACGGGCCATTAGCTGTCGAAACATTGCCCCGCGTCTCCCACGGCGCTCTAATGCCCGTGGCAACGCGCAAAGGCCCGTGTGTCCGGGTTGCTCCGCTGCGTGCGAACCGAACTCTAAGACTTAAACTTTTTTTTTACCAGGTAAGGCCCAATGAAGGCATGTAGCTCTTTTTCACAAGCGACATGGCCACAATTGATAGCCCAACGGAGTGGCTTATCACGTGGAAATATCTAGCAGACAAAATACTCCACAAACGCACATCGATTCTAAAATGCGGCGTGGAAAAACGGGAGAACCGATTTAAAATCTACACGACCATGGGGCGAGAGACCCATTACAAACGCCAAATACTACAGGGGTCAGGATCGAACCCACGACCTCCTGCATACCAGGCGAGGAGTTAACACCCCCCCCCCCCCCCACCAACCGCGGCACCCCCTTGAAAGTGATAGCGGCCATTCGCCGAGCTACTGCCACTGCGGTCCCCCCCCCCTACCGCTTGACTTTTCAAAATATCAACAACCTCATCACGCTCGCCAACATCGCTGCCCATTCCGCGAACCGAGCCACATTCTCGAAAGCGGCGGCAGATCATATCCCCCGCGAAACGACACCCCCGTGTGTATTGTTCGGACGCTCTCGCGATCGTTAACGCCCGAGGGTTGTGTGCGTGCGCGCCGCGGTAAGAGATTGCGAGCGAGGTGGACCACCGCCACCCACTCCCAGAAACCGCAGTTCTCTTTGTCCATCTTTAGGTATTTCCGTGTATCCGTGTGGCACCGCTCGCTGCCGGTCACCTTGGCCGTTCCGCGATCACCAGACGTTACGTGTCGGACACCCTGAAGGTGCGGGGGGTAAGCCGCAGGTGTGGATTTACTTTCCCGGGACGTTGCACGTCAAAAGCGATTAAGGACCAATTAAGATTCAGAGGCGACCTGTCAATCTTTATTGCACAACGGAGAAATGCTCGTGAAATACCACGGCGTTAAGACGCGATCGGACGAACCGGCCTTCGCCCAGACCGGGACGGCGGATGGGGGGGGGGGGTGTGTCGAGTCTCGCGGAGGCGTCAAACCATTGTCGCCTTCCATAAATAAGCCGCGTTGTCCAAAATTGGGGATAATTACCGTGAAAAATATTCACCACCCCCCGCGCACGCGTTTGAAAGGCAAAAAGGCGCAGCCCTGCAATTACTCGCTCGGGCCACCGCTGGCGGAAGGGCCACACCCCCACTAGAGGGATGTCTAGAGAGCCCTCCCGTAGGGTAGTATTGCGATCTCTTCCGCATTGGTAAAGTGTCGTGCATCCGTCTTACACTGCGGGGTGGGGATCAACAAAAGCGCACCGTCGTTTCAACCGCCGCACCGGGAGATGGAACCGGTGGGCCCTCTTCGGATTGCAAGCCCGGTGCGACAACCATTGCAACGCGGGCAAGCAGCGTCCTGCCATTTGTGTTAACCCACTGGCGATTTTTGAAGCGTCGACCCGTTGGGGTGGCCCGATTTTGTTTGACTTCGCCTAATCGAGGCTGCCAGTTCAATGACGCTGCGGGTGAGGCAAGTGCGACCCTTGGCCCCCTCCGGGTTCACCCGGGATGAGGCCACGCCCGTCCGTGGCTCAAACTCCCTCTCAGGGCCGCAGCCACGTCGCACGCTCAAAAAAAGAAAGCAAGCAGCATCATCATCAAGCGCTACGGCGAGGAGCTCGCAATTTACGCGTGTATGCATGTTGAACTTCCTTCGTACCGTACGTAGACAACCATGCTCATCGGAGGTGCGGGGAAAGGACAACAAGCTACACACAAAAAAGCAGTTCTAAAGAAATGAGTATTCAATCTATATTTAAAAGTGCTTAGCTTCAGTGGCTTCCTAATAAACGGAAGGAAGAGCATTTCAGACGGCCGCAGAAGCGCATCTGAAAGCGCGCAATGCAGTGACCGTCTTTGTTGGATGGTTAGCAAAAATCTGCTGCTTCGAGGATGACCAGAGTTCACGTGATGGTTTATGCTCCTTGACAAGATCAGCAAGGTACTGTGGTCCATTTGTGGCGAGCACTTTGTGTGTGCAATGAGTGCGATCTCATCACGTCTTTGTTCGGCAACTGGAAGACCATGGAGCTAGACAAGCACTGGATGGACATCGTTGGATCTTTCAGTACCCATCACCATCGGGATATTGGTGAGGTTGAAATCCTGATTGGGGTGTGGGGGGGGGGACCGGAGGGGATGGGTTGACTCAGCCCATCACATCTCTTTGAGAGTTGATCAAATATGTACCGCTTTGTTGGGGAGTCAAGAGTGGTTTCCCGATGAAGATAAGCACCAATGCGTCCGTGCTCATTTAGAGCAGAACATCACTTTGGCCTGTTGGACAGGAGGAGCGAGGATTTAATAAACAGAGAATGCCGCGACTGGGAACCGATCACTTACGATCAGCGCACTTAATTATGTATGAACCGGTGGTATGAACATGACATCCAGTTGGCAGCGTGGGCAGGAGAGGGCTTTTCTTTATCGTGTGGACCAGAAGTCACTTGAAGGAATGAAGTTGCAGAGAGCGAATAAAAAAGATAAAGGTCACAAAAGAAGTGTCGAACGCAAACAGACAATGTTTTATTTTACCAGGTCAGGCCCACTGAGCTATGAAGCTCTTTTTCAGAAGCGACCTGGTCACAAATGATCGCTCAATTGAAGTGGCCGATCACGTGGAAATGTACAGCAGCCAACGCACATTTCTAAACGTGGAGAGTAACCCGGAGGACCCGGAGAAAATCCACATGACCACAGGGAGAACATGCAAACTCCAAATATCGAACCCACGACACTCTTGTATACCACGTGAGGTAGTTGACATCTCGCCACCGTGTAGTCACTTGGATGGTTGCAGCAGATTGACATGTGGACAATTCACCATCTTCCCATATCCGTCTCTCACGTACAGCGAGGGAAAAAAAGTATTTGATCCCCTGCTGATTTTGTACGTTTTGCCCACTGACAAAGAAAATTATCAGTCTATAATTTTAATGGTAGGTTTGTTTGAACAGTGAGAGACAGAATAACAACAACAAAATCCAGAAAAAAACGCATGTCAAAAATGTTATACTTGATTTGCATTTTAATGAGGGAAATAAGTATTTGACCCCTTCTCAATCAGAAAGATTTATGGCTCCCAGGTGTCTTTTATACAGGTAACGAGCTGAGATT